TTGCCACACTCATTACATTTGTAAGGTTTCTCTCCAGTATGAATCCTCTGATGTCTTGCAAGATATAAATTTTGACTAAAGACTCTGCCACATACATCACACTTATATAATTTCTTTTCTGTATGGATTAACTGATGTCTACTGAGTTTCGATCTGTAATTAAAGGTCTTGCCACACTCATTACATATGTAAGGTTTCTCTCCAATATGATCTCTCTGATGAATTGCAAGGAATGAATTTCGACTATAAACTTTGCCACATATATGACATTCATATAATTTCCCTCCTTTATGGATTATCTGATGTCGAGTGAGGGTTGAGCTCCGATGAAAGGTTTTGCCACACTCATTACACTTGTAAGGTTTCTCTCCAGTATGAATCCTCTGATGAATCCTGATGTATGAATTTTGAGTAAAGACCTTGCCACAGATATTACATTTATAAGGGCTCTCTAGAGTATGAATTCTCTTATGACCTGCAAGGTGTGAATTACTACAAAAGCCTTTGCCACAAAAATCACATTTATATGGTTTTGCTCCTGTATGGATGACCTGATGTCGACTGAGGGCTGACTTATTGTTAAAGGTTTTGCCACACTCATTACATTTGTAAGGTTTCTCTCCAGTATGAATCCTCTGATGTCTTGCAAGACATGAATTTCGACTAAAGTCTGTGCCACATACATCACACTTATATAATTTCTCTTCTGTATGGATTAACTGATGTCTACTGAGTTTCGATCTGTAATTAAAGGTCTTGCCACACTCATTACATATGTAAGGTTTCTCTCCAATATGATCTCTCTGATGAATTGCAAGGACTGAATATCGACTATAAACTTTGCCACACACATCACATTTATGTAATTTCACTCCTGTATGGATTATCTGATGTCGAGTGAGGGATGAGCTCTGATGAAAGGTTTTGCCACACTCATTACATTTGTAACTTTTCTCTCCAGTATGAATTACCTGATGAGTTGCAAGGGATGCTTTTTGACTAAAGACTTTGCCACACTCATCACATTTGTAAGGTTCCTCTCCAGTATGAATTCTCTGATGAACAGCAAGGACTGCTTTTTTAATAAAGACCTTACCACAGTCATTACGTTTGTAAGGTTTCTCTCCAGAATGAATTCTATGATGTTTTGCAAGGTATGAACTTTGACTGAAGACTCTGCCACACACATCACATTTATATAATTTTCCTCCTTTATGAATTACCTGATGTTTCCTGAGGTTCGAGCTATGCTGAAAGATTTTGCCACACACATTACATTTGTAAGGGTCCTCTCCAGTATGAATTGCCTGATGACATGCAAGCGCTGCTTTTTGACTAAAGGCCTGGCCACACTCATTACATTTGTAAGGCTTCTCTCCAGTATGAGTTCTCTGATGAACTGCAAGATTTGAATTTCGACTATAAACTTTGCCACATACATCACATTTATATAATTTCACTCCTTTATGGATTATCTGATGTCGAGTGAGGATTGAGCTGTGATAAAACGTTTTACCACACTCATTACATTTGTAAGGTTTCTCTCCAGTATGAATTCTCCGATGACTTACAAGGGTTCCCTTTCGGCCAAAGACCTTCCCACACTCGTTACATTTGAAAGGTTTCTCTCCAGTATGAATTCTCTGATGAAGTGCAAGGATTGAATTTCGATTAAACACTCTGCCACATACATCACATTTGTATGGTTTTGCTCCTGTATGGATTAACTGATGTGTTCTAAGATTCGAGCTGTGATTAAACACTTTATCACACACATTACATTTGTAAGGTTTCTCTCCCTGATGAAGTGCAAGGATTGAATTTCGATTAAACACTCTGCCACATACATCACATTTGTATGGTTTTGCTCCTGTATGGATTAACTGATGTGTTCTAAGATTCGAGCTGTGATTAAACACTTTATCACACACATTACATTTGTAAGGTTTCTCTCCAGTATGAATTCTCTATGAACTGCA